GCTGTTAAAAAAATACCAAATGCAAAATAAAATGTCACTATTGTTGGTAAGGATAGTATGTGTGTGTGATTATTTTTCATCCTAAACTCATTATTTAAAAAAAGAAGGAATAAGTACTTTTAAAAAAATTACTTTCCTGAAAATATAGTGGAAAAATACTCTCGCCTACTGGAGTGTGCCTCCAGCATAACACTCTTATACTACTGAAAAACAGTAGGTAATTTGATAATGCACTGTTACTTTAACTATTGTCACACATAATTAACTTTCCTAGTTAGTCTTTTCATTAGCAAATGATATTTCAGAAAGGAAAACAAAAAATAATGACTGAAGTGTCATGGTACTGAGCCCTCTGCCAAGAATATTTATTGAGACAACGGCACTCCCTTTTAACAGGTTGTCACATGGTTGCCTGCATAATGCCCCCTCAGGGGTCTGATTTCTGTATTATATATAGAGAAACCATTTTGATCACCATCTCATTGAAATATGTCCTCTTTGTTTTCGAAAACACTTCCTGTTTCCTCTCTGTCATAATCACTTATCGCCGGGTGTCTTGATTAGAGTTTTGAGGCATGTCATAAACGGTGGCTTGTCACCACCTGCCATAAGCGATAGGCCTCAGAGGTGGCCATGTGTTACAGGCCAAGGAACCAAAGCTACCAACAGCCACCTGCTGGTTTTCTCTTGTAAGAATCTCCATGAACTCCAGCTTGAATACCAGCAGGAACGCAGAGGAATAAATGCTTGATGAAATACCAACTCTGCACATTCTCTTATCCTGTTCACAGATGCATTTAAACAGAAGTGACAGCCGCTCTTCCTTGAACATATTTAGCACATCTATTCCTTTCCAAGAGCCTTCAAAGATAAACAAATTAAATCTAATCCTTGAGCTTATGTTTGAAGATGACACATCAAGTATTCTTCCTCTTTAGTGAGCTAAGAATAATTTTCAGTTGTATTTTACAGGAAGAAATTACTTGGATGCTCAGCAAAGTGCATGCTTAGTGCAGCGGAGGGGGCCTCCTGCAACTGAGACTTACACTGTTTTAAGTAGAGAGTAAAAATATGCTTATTGCCTTAATAGATAAATCCTTGATGCTTCTGAATATTCAGATCCTTCATACACATAATATTTTGCCATTCCTAAAGTTGTCTTGTAAAGAACATGATTTTATTCACTACATTCTAGATGGAATTTTGGGTGGTAACAGGAACAAACTCATGAAAGAGGAAATACTTGGAGTCTTCTTTACACAAGAAGGCAACTCTGATGGACTCACAGGCCAAACGTTTTCCTCCGGCACTTGCCTTGAACTTCAGCAGGCTGTTGAAAAATTCTCTCTCTCTCTCTCTCTCTCTCACACACACACACACACACACACACACACACACAGAGAGAGAGAGAGAGAGAGAGAGAGAGAGAGAGAGAGAGAGAGAGTAGAAAAGTGCACATTAGAGCATGACAAGGCAGGCATTTCTAAGTTTCATTTTTCGACTGGGTGGATTTGATAAAGCAAAAATGTGTCACCCACCCACCCAGTTTTGTAGTTATTTTGCAATTCTGGGCAGGTGGGATACATGGGGGTTGCAAAAGGCCCTTGAGGGGGCCCATCCTGTTTGTATGCCACTCTTTACCTACTCCTTTTTCAGCGTCTTAGCCTGTACTCGACACCACCTGAAAATCAAAGACCTGAGGAAAATAAGTGAGCTAGTCTCACTGGTCCTGGTACCTTGCTGGCGGTGATGGTGGGCGGATGTGTCAGAGAAAGACTTGTTTAAATCAGCATTCCAGGAAGTTGCCAAGTAGGAAATCAAAGCAATAATACTCATGTACCCAAGCAGATAAGATAAAGTAGTATTCTGCCTCTGAGCTGAATATATATCCATCATTAACTAGTAATCTCCAGTGCCTTGTTCTCCAACAATTTATCCCATTCTCTGCTGGAGTTTTATTCACAGTCTCACATACTATCTGTAGTTTGTCTGATTGGGAGGGACATTTCCGAGCTGGAGTGATTGTCTATCCAGCACTAATCAATTGGCTGTTGCCTTCCCCCCCCTTTGCTTGGCCAGTGTTACAGACAGTTATGACATCACCTGCCCACCCCTTGCTTGGCCAGTGTCAGTTGTTTGATCTGTTTGTTTGGCTGCTAGGTACATGCGCAATAAAGAAACCAGCATGCACAATTTTGTAATTTCAAGCAAATGCAAGTAAAGAAAATTTTTTAAATTATTTCTGCTATAAATGTGTTAGAATGAATTATTGAGACTTTGGGTGCCAGTTAATGAAAAAGGGGTGAATTATAGAGAACTTGCAGCTATTCTCTGTGGATCTCTGTGCGTCTATTGCATGGGGGTGGGGGGAAAGGAATTTTACCAGAAATTCAAAAATATGTAAATGTTCTGCAACCCATCATATATATTATAAATGTGTATATAAGAATGAATGAGCTCTATTATTTGCATAAAAGAACATATAAAACCACTCAGATTGTGCCTGATGCCAGCCAATAGGTGCTTAGAGTGTTAATTGTCAGATATAAGAAAAGGTAGCAATTAGTATAAGGCTTTTCTGTTGATAAGTTAGTTTTCAGTCAAGACTATCTACTGATAGGTGTTTGCTGTTAGTATGTTTCTTATTAGTCTATAACAGTTAATAAACAAGATATTAGGAAACTAATAACTGTCTGTTATGAAACTGTACTAACATGCCTGTCAAGCACAAACCAAATCTACACCAAGTCAAATCTTCAATTATTGTTAGTTTATTTTTCAACATATTTTAAGTAAAAGTTTTTAAACTTTACTATGACTGAATAATTATTCTTCTATCTGCTGGCACACACACACAAAGATATATATCAAGAGAGAATATTATTCATATTCTGTTTTTTTTTAACTCATGCTTAATCTGTTGTGTACAAACTCACAAAAACCCCTCAACACTTGTAGCTATTCTCCTCTATGGATCTTTATGCTTCCATAGTGCAACAAGAAAAGGAATTTTACAAAAATTCAAAACTCTGCAACATTCTCTTCTAAAGCTGTGCTGATGAACTTCTACTTTTCTTTCTTTGTACTCACCTCCTAGGTCCCATTATACCTATACTCAGCTCTCCTCTACTCTCTGAGCATGGGGAGGTAATGTGATGCAGTTTATTCCACATCTTAGTATCTCTCACTGATATAAACTGAAGAGCACAGGTAACTGTGAAGATCACAAGTAATTGCTTGGATGCTAAATTAAAAGGCATGTTTGTAGGTTTGGTTTGGCTCTCAACAAGCCACATTACTATCCCAGCATTAATATTTTTCTTTTCCATTGGATCCTATTATTTTAGTATCAATGTCAAACAAAAAAGCAATGTGGAAATAAACCATCCTTTGCTTTGTTTTGAAAGAGATTACATTGTATTCTTCAAATTGTTTCCTGTGTGCACAAGAAGGAGCATAATCCACAATTAGTATCTCACTTTCTCAACCCTGCAAGCAGTTTAAATAATCCTCTCCTGAACTGCACGGGAACCTCTTCATTAGAATGGACGCTATTGACTGCTCAGATTAAACAGTGTAACATTGGAGGTTACTGACATGCCTTTAAGCCCATTTTTAATTACAAAAGACAAGAGATTCTTTGCAGCCTGGAGGCTCTGACTTTGATACATGATGGGTGAGTGATGTCATAGGATAGCATTTAAAAGTATAAAATTATTTGAACTGCTTTCTATGAAAAGTAAATGCTTTAACTGGGTAAGAGATGAAGCTGAGAAAAAATTATTCAACAGGCAAGTCTGTTTAGACCTTTCCCTCTGGGAAATGCTTTAATAATTATACCTTGCATGGGTGAAACCCATTTACAATGGATTCAACCCATTTAATTTCTTTAAGATAATCAAACATATTCTCAGCAACACTCACATTACATAGGAGGAAATGTGCAGTTGTGTGTTACCTTAAAGGCTAATGTGGTATGTGCACCTGATGAGGGGAAAAGGCATTAGATTAATAAAACATTTTTAGCTAAGATTGTTGTTGATATTTTGCAACATCCACCTATACAGTTGTTCCCAACCTTGAGTAACTCAGGTGTTCTTGGACTACAACTCCCAGAAACCCTGGTCAGCAGACGTAGTAGTGAAGGCTTCTGTGAACTGCACTCTAAGAACACCAAGGTTGGGAATCACTGACGTATAACACTACTACCTCTTTCTGTGGACCCCAAACTACAACAAGTTGCATGATTTCCTACCCTCACCCAAATTTATTTTTAACTGAAAGCACCTATGAGAGACTGGAAGCTTGAGATCAGGAGTGAGAAGTGGGAGGTTGTTGATCCCTCTCCTCTGGGAGGTATTTGCCCATCCAAAGTTACTTCCAAGCTGTTTTCTTCACAGGAAAAAAGATCTGTGCCTCTACATAGTTTTCAATGGACAAGAGCAAGGGAATTGGCTGAGCAGCTCCTTGCCACACTGATCTTACCCTAGCTATGATAGAACCCTGAGGTTGCTATTACTTTTTGTTTTAATGAGGGAAAGGAACAGACAGGTATGCCTAATGTATGTGTTCAAATATGCTCAGTTATGTTTTATCATGTGAATAAGGCTGAGTGGGCTACAGCTTTGCATGCTTCCTTCTTCTCCAGCACAGCTGCAAATAAAGGCCCATTGTTGTGATGGACCATGAAGTGGCTTCTGACTTAGAGCAACTCTAATGGGCTTTTCAAGGTACATGAGAGGTTCAAGGTGATTTACTATTGCCACCTCCCAGTGAGTTCTTGTCCCCAAGCGGATATTTGAATCCAGAACTCCTGAATCATAGCCCAACACTGTATCCATTATATCATACTGACAATTAAAGGATTAGTTTATGATTAGTCACAGCTTAGCTGTACACCCAAACCCAAATAAGCTTCATGAAGGTTTTCTGAAGGAATTCATTTTCAAGCGGTGGGTTATGAAACACTCAGATCTTGATGCTTTTACTTTCAGGCAGTATGGTTTTTAGATAATTCTGCTTCTCCCATCCTCTGAATCTCTGCAATGCCCAGCCTGACTCAGAGTACCACTGGAAGGGCTTGCCTGTTTTTAACATTTGAGTCGTCTGTCAAAGGTATTATACTCTCTTACTTTGTAATCCTGAGGAGGCTGTGTGTAATTTGGCTCAGGGTCATGAATGTCAAAACCTGTCCTCAGTCGGATGGAGAAGAAATTTGCCAGTCAGTTTGGCTCTATTTTACCCCTGGCAGTATATTTTTACCTGGATTTCAGCACAGCAGTCATTAACATGCACAGTGTTTATTTTCTTTTTCAGAGGTAAAACAGGTTAGAAACAGGTGCCACTCAGATGATGAATACAAGCTGCCAGCCTTTGAAACAGCAGGTACTGAGTTAGAGTTTGGCATTAATTAGCATTTAGAAAGGCTACCCACTTTCATGATAACGCTGCAAGATAATCTTTGTTCTTTCTCCCAAATTAAAATGACTAAAATAAGCTAGGGCAAAATGCAACAAGTAATTGTTAGCTCCTAAACAATGTTGCATCTGAAAAAAAAAGCAAAATGAAACAAGCAAACACAAGCAAAGACCCATAATCCAGTAACTCCAAAGCTTCAGCGATTAAACCAGAAACTCACAGAGGAACCCATCAATCCAAAACTTAACTTCAAGTTCTTTCCTCTGTTCACAAATGCAAATTTAATTTATAATTCCATACCAAAGCACTGGAAAGAGCAATGGCTACATACGAACTTCCTTGCTAAAGGCTTTCCATATATTTTGAACTACTACAACTGCCAGCATTCTTTCCCATTGAGTGTGCTGGCTGGGGCTGATGGACGCCAAACATTTGGAGGACAGCAGGCTGAAGAAAGTTTCCCCTCATATTGACCCAAAAAGACAACACAAAGCACATCCCAAACAAATCCAAAGATGGTGTCTTATTCACCCCAATCTGCTTCCCCAGCGCATCAAGGCCTAAATAAGGATGTGTGTTAAAAGGTGAGAAACCTTCTTACTCTGATATTACATTTGAAGTCAATTACAAACATACTTTGAAAGGAATGAAAAAAATGTGATTGATGTCAGAATTTTAATGCAGTCTAATAAGTGACCATCTGTCAGCAGCCAAGGGATGTACCAAGCACATCCCTCCCCCCCTCCAAAAATACAAATGGTGAGGCTAATTAAAAAGCACATTAGCATTGTCTGAAAGTGATGCGAAGCAGAGTGCAGTAAGACAAGAGGAGGAAAATACCAAAAAAAAACCCAACAAATTGTCCCCCAAAAAACAAATAAATCCTCCTTCAGTCATCTGGGATCAGAGATGACTATGGGGCTGCTACAGTACTATTTGCTGCTCAGGGGATCAACAATACAATAACTATAGTTATGGAGCAAATCAAATATAAGATGGTGATAATTTGCCACTCATTAGTTTCAGTTCTGGGCAAGTTATCACTGGAGGCCCAGCTGAAATTTTAAAAAGGACGTAAGCCATGCATGTGTGTGTTAGTGCAGAAGAGTATATATAAGTCAGACTTTTGACTCTTTTCAGCCCGTTTCGCCCGACACTGTGGCCAGGACGCTTGACCGCTGTCGTGCCACCACCTCCTCTTTAGACCCTTGCCCGGCCTGGCTAATCAAGGCAGCCAGGTCCTCAACAACGGAATGGGCCACTGTAATAATTAATGGGTCTTTCCTTGAGGGCAGATTTCCCTCTGCCCTCAAGGACACACTCATTAGGCCCATAAGAAAGAAACCGAGCTTGGCGGCGGACGAAATTGGCAATTATAGGCCCGTCGCCAATGTTTCTTTCTTAAGCAAGGTAGTTGAGAGGGTGGTCGCCGATCAGCTTCAGGCGTTCCTGGATGAAACAGATGCCTTGGATCCATTCCAGTCGGGATTCAGGCCGGGCCATGGAACAGAAACGGCATTGGTCGCCCTGTGCGATGACCTGTTGAGGGAGGCCGACAGGGGCAAAACGTCTCTGCTGGTCCTCCTCGACAT